GAAGAGGCAGAAAAATTTTTCATAAATTGTATATCGTTCAACTTTTATCATTGAATAAAAAATGATACAATTTTAATGAATATTTAGTATTCTGAAAAAAAAGTTCATTTTACTTTTAAAAAGTTTAACAATTTTTTTAATAAAATTTTTTTAAATTTTTAAAATTTTGAAGTTTTTTTGTATGAATTGTAAATTGTGCATTTGCTAATTTTAAAATTAGAGAATTTATTTCGTTGTTTTGTAATATCAATTATTCAAATGCAAATCAAAATTTTGCTATAATAATTGTTGAAAAAAATGACTGAAAAAACTTTTTCCTAAAATATTTTAACTTTTATCCTTTTTTCGTATTTTTATAATTAAAACTTGGAATGTATTTAAAATTTTACAAAATAAATAAGTAACAAAAAAATAAAAATATAACGAAACTTTTCAAAATATCTTTTCTTTACTGTCTTGCAAATAATTACATAATTTTAAAAATATTTATTGCAGGTTTCATGTGAACTTAAATTCAGGAAATCCACTTATATAGGTTGCCGAAAAATTCTGATTCAATTACAATATCTTTCAAATACACATACTCCCTTTTTATGATACCATTTAACCCCTTAAGGTATCCGACTACATGCGACAACTTTTTTTTTAAAAAAATGGAGGTATGGGGATTTTTTTGTAGATTTTCTTAGTAGATTTTAAGAAAAATATGCTAAAATTAAGAGAAAAAGAAGTTATTATAACTAAAATGGGGGGGGAAAATGCTAAAAATTTACAAAAAATAACATAAACACGGCCAATTCCGCGCCCGAAGTTTGTGCACAAATTTTCAATTTTGAAATTCTGATGTGTTGCTATTTTATTCATTTTTGAAATGACTTCAGGATAAGAGGTATTTTAGTTTTTACAAGAACTAGAGCACTTTATCTTAGTTATTACATAAAATCGCTTAAAAAAACACTGATTATAGTAACATGAGGGACTGTAAATTTTGTAATAAAACAGTGATTGATAAATCTGAAGGTTAAAACACTTCTACTATTAGACAGAATATTCACAAAAAATTTCAGTTAATTATTTTCAAAACTTTTTTTAGCAATCGCTGCCCCCTTTGAGTATTTTTTAAAAAACACACACACACATTTCGAGTAAAACGAGTTTTAAAGTACGACATCTTGCTTAAAGTAATGACATCTGCTTTCACTAAAACACTTGTAGTTTTTGTTTTAGGGATTAAACCTTAAGCGGGTTACGTACGGGATACCGAAAGTTGCCCGCAACTGTACGGGCAAAGATATTTTCTTTCTTTCTTTGATTTCTTTTTTTAATTGTTGTGTGTTATTAGTGTTAGTATTTTGAAAAGAGGAATAAGTTTATGGTACTGAGATGCTTTTCGTCTATTTTTTTTTTCTTGGTGGAGGGAATTAGTGTATGGTGTTTAATTATAAAAAATAAAAAATGCGCCCTTTTTTTTTAAAGCATTTTAGGTAAAAAAAATGATAATAACCGCTTCTGGGGTTAAAACACTTTTTTCCCAAAATCAAATCTAAGAACTTTTAAATTAGAAATTAAATCAATTATAATATTACAAAAATAGGAGAACATTAAAATAAATATAGAAGTGTTTAGATTGTGTTTCAGTTTCTAATAATTTTACAATCCTTAATCTTGTGTGAATTATTTAAGCAAATTTTGTATTCAGAGAATTTCTTAATTCTGTAATATCCACAAAAATATAATTAAATTCCTGCTCTGCCGTTCTAGTTTCTGGTAGGTTTTTTGGTTTTTACAATTTTGTTCCAATATTTTCAGTGGCCTCTTAGTCATGGTCGTGAAGTCGTGCCCGGCGTTGTTGAGTAATGGGTTCGAATCCTGATACCACCTAAGACCAGTGGAGTAGAAATGCTGATGCATATCAAATCTATTGAGGCTCAATGATGGATTCTAATTTACGTCGCACTCTGAAGAAACACCCAGGATATTGGTGACGGACCACGTAATTTGGAACCATAGTCAAGTGACGAGGACGGCATCTGAACTTGCACTCCCTCTGCAAATTTCACTGCACGCCAACGGAAGAACTTTGAGCCTCGACTCGAGCCTCTACACGGTAGATCTTCTGTGGCATCAGGGCTGGAACCAAGTTTAGAGGCTGAATGCCCCTCAAGTCGTATTCGTCACTTGATCAAGAATCAGAATTACTAGGTTCATCACTAAAAGCCCTCGCATTGCTGTAAAGTGCGACTTTAATAAAAAATAAAATCAAAATACAATATTTTCAAATAAATATAAATCAGCAAAATGAGAATAGATTTTGTGTTCATTAAAAAACATAATTAGAAAAAAAAATTTTAAAAGAAAAAAGTTTTATCTCAAAGAAAGTAGAGTTTATTTTTGAAATCAAAACTTTCTGTTTGCTGCTAAACTAAAAATATATAGTATTCGAAAAGTAAATATTTATTCCAAAGAAACCTGATCAAATATTTAAAATACACCAAAAGCAAAAACAAATGCGAATGGCGCCAACACACACTATATTTGGTGCGAAAAAAAAGTCGCCAAGAAAAAAAACAAGATACATACCAAACTTCAACAAACAGTATATATGTTCTTTTCAAGAACAATTCGACGAAGTACGTAGAGATATATTATAACGTAAAAATATGTGAATGAAAAGTTTTGTGATTAAAATTATTATACTCCAAATAAGGCAGATTAACACTAAGGGTTGTTTTTTTTCATCAAACTTTAAACTCGTATAAAAAGTTTAATGCTTTTTAATCTATAGATTAATATTTTCAAAAATGTGTGAAAATACAAATGCACCTTATAACATCGCACTGTTGGTGACGAACCTCGTAATTTTATAACACGGTGAAGGGATGAAAATTCTATCTCACAGCTGGCAACCCTCTCCAAACTACTTCACCACGACGATGGGAAAACCTTAAGCCTTGGCAGGTTTAACATACACCAGCCCCTCTAAGCGGAGGGGTCTTCGGCAGCACTAAGGCTCGAACTCATGACACGCCAGCCATGATTCTGTGATCATGACCAATAGCCTACCGCGGCCCCGAAACGCTTGGGGAAAAAGGTGTTTAATGTAGCAACGATTCAGGCTTTATGTAACATTTATAAAATGTTAAATTTTATATTGTTATTATATTAAAAGAGACCTAGTGACTGAGTGGTAGCGTATCGCGCTTCCTCACCACAGGTCCGGGGATCTATCCTTGGGCTGGGCAAAATCGACTCAGCCTTTCATCCCTTCAGTAGATCGATAAATGAGTACCAAGGTTGTTTGGGGACTAAACACTGGGTGTTTCGCTTCAGACTGACCACCTGATTGGGACATCTGCTTGTAGCGGTACCATCTATATAAGCCAGTAACTACCTCCGCACCACGGTGATCATTTTGGTGTAGTGGATAAGTTATTCGGCTTCGGAACCAAAGGTACCTGGTTCTATCCTACCGGATAAGGTAGGACCAGGGTCACCACTTCATTGGTGACCCTGGCTGAACTCAGAAAAACGCAAGCTTCTGATCTGTCGTGGCGCCATCTATTCACCGCAAATGCAACCAAAGCCATTAGACACATGACGCAATGAACAAAGTCGTCTCACATATGACGCAATCAACAAAGCCGTCACGCACGAATAACGCAACCAGCAAAGCCGTCACAACTCATGACGCAGCAGCAAAACACGCTTGATTAAACAAATACATCGTTCGTTCGCCTATCCACCGACTCACTGGTGGGGGAGTATGTAGCGGTACCATCTATATAAGCCAGTAACTACCTCCACACCACGGTGATCATTTTGGTGTAGTGGATAAGTTATTCGGCTTCGGATCCAAAGGTACCTGGTTCTATTCTACCGGATAAGCGCGCCACTTCATGCTCATGCACCTCAGAGCCCAATGGTCACGTATACTGGGCACAGTAGGCTTTGTCCCTCATGGGGTGTTGCTCCATTGAGTTAAGTTTAGTTTTTGTTTGTAGTATTATTTAAAAAAAACGGTATACAACAACTTATTCTTTATATAAAGTATGTTTTTACTACTTACTATACAATTATAAAGCATTTATAATTATTCTCAGTCGGACCATATTCTGTGACAAAAGGCAAATATGTTTTCAAGAAAATTTTTGCTTCACGGTCCAGAAATATTTTCAAAACAATTTAAGGCTTTTAAAATAAAGAATTCTAGCATATTATTCGTGTACCATTGTCCAAGCATATTTTTTTCTCCATACTTTAAAACAAAATCAGCTTTATTTCTTATAAACTTTATTCCTCACATTATTATTAGCCTTTTACCACCGGCTATTTCCAAACGAGAATGAAAAGCTAAAAAAGAAATGAAATATGGACTCCCCGCCCATAAGCGGAAGCCTTGATTAATGGACCGAAATTAGACCACAATCGAGTGATGAGAAGATTTTTCTTTGCTAAAGAGGAATGCGAAGCTCTATATATAAGCTCTCGAGTATTAGGATGAGTTGATACATAAAGGGGTTCAGACACATACATTATCAGCAATCAATAATTCCCCTTTTTTTATTCTTTCAGTCTTCATTAAGTTCAGTTCTATTACTCTTAGTAATGAATGTGTTACATTTGGGTTCTATTTTAGCATTGTTTCTTAGGCTTAAGCTTATTTACTTTTGTCTTGCTGAGGATATATAAAGTTGACGGTCTAATTGTCCTTTTGAATGCCAAAACGCGAATGCTTAGCATCAAATGTATTATCACAAGCAACATATACTTTCAGTTATATTTGCAATATAAATTATTCTTCACCTGCTTTGATTGCTTAATCTGAAACAATATTTCATTTGTTACTATATCTTTTTAAATATTTTTAAATCTCGGAAAGCATAGTAAAGTCGTATCTATAGACTGTACAATGATATAGTATTTTCAATTCCAACTATTAATTCACTCTAAACAAAAATAATAGTCCAACAGTATATATAGAAAGGAAAATCATTCGTTGTGTCCCTGTAGCGCAATGGACAGCGCATTGTACTTCTTATCCAAAGGTAGTGGGCTCGAATCCCACTTGGGATGGTCTAATTTCTGCGAATGGGATTTCTTTTTTACTATACTATTTTGTTAGAATAATTAAATTTAATAAACTGAATAAATAGTAAAAAAGAAAAAAAAATAGTCCAATACCATACTTAGAAAGGAAAATGAAAAATTGCAAGAAAAATCGCTATCTATTTTGTCCCTTAATATTGTGATTCTGTCATGTATATACATATATTAATTATAACTATTTAATAAAAAGTAAGTAAAATAAAAAATTTCTTTGTTGATCTAAGAAGGAATTGACTTAAATTTTTTTTATATTACTTTTTTTTTTATTTGCCAAAAAAATATGTATTCGGTGTTCGAGTTTTAATTTTTTGATGTTTTCATACAACTGCTCATGTTTAAAATTTTGCTTGTATTAGCATTTACTTAATTTTCTAATCCATATAAAAGTAAGGGAGTGAGTGTACATTAACGTCTTACTACAAAGCAACACGAGGGCTATTGGCGACGGACCTCTTAATTTTAAGCCATCGTCAAGTGACAAGGATGACATCTGAGCTGGCACTTCCCTGGTACTCCCTGAGCTGACGCCTCAAACTTTCCCATTACGGCAACTAGAGGACTTTGAGCCATGTCCGATTTAACATGCATCAGTTTTACTAAAATGCGGATTCGTCAGTGACACTAGGATTGGAACCCGTGACTGAACAATACCGACCACGAGTTCGTGACCATAACCACTCGGTTACCTTGGCCCCAATTCTACATGGGATTCAGCGATATAGATTTTAAGTATAACAAACAAATTTTATGAAGAAAATATTTTTAAAAAATGAAAACACAACTCACGGTGATCTGACCTTCCACAAAGCTTACCAACAATTTCTGTAACTTAATGCCTTCTTAGTGAGATAATGGAAGCCTCAATTTTTTTTAAAAACTTTCAATAAAATTTTACAGTCAGAGTTCCTTTTCTGGTGCATTTTAGATGAACATTGAAAGTTTTTTCTTGTGTGGAGCCTATCTCTATTACTATCGTTATATCTTTGGGTATTCTGTTCTTTTTTTACATCAAAATATATTATGACAACTTTAAAAATACATTATGAATTGTATAATGAATGTTTATGTATACTCAATTCAAAAGCTCCCCCCCCCCCGTGCCTGTTATATATTAGGATAGTTCTTTTTATAATATTAAAGAAACGAATTTTAAGATTAGGACATTCTTTTAGAAGAAAAATATTCCAATGTTAATATATATATTTATTTTATTTGACATAGGTACATTTTAATTTAATATTCCTTTTTGCTTGACTATTATATTTTCCTCTTTTATGTCCAATATATCGACTAAATTGTAATGTAGGAAAAAGATTTGACTTGGTAATAATAATTGCATCAAATCTACAATTTCATAATTATTTAAACATGAAGAGATATTGTAATTATAACATAATTTGCATAAAATAATTAAGCAAGTATTACAGTAATAAGCTTAAAAATAATCTCAGCTTCCATTTTTTACTATGAAAAAATAATAGTTACACATATACACACATTCCTGCTAACTTCTTATATTTACATCTTTAAATTTTTCTTTTAGAGATTGAGGCTTAATTTTTCAAGGAAAAAAGACAATAAAAACACGCATAAAGACAAAAAACGCTTGTGTTACAAAAACACTGGATAATTTTCCGTCTCATTTTTTGCGATTTAGGAACCTTTCATTGTGTTAAATTGCTTAACATGATTACTTTAACAATATTTTTATATCCTATGGAAATTCGAAAAAGAAAAAGAAAGAAGCATAAAAGTAGTCTTCATTAGCTATATTTTTTGTGAAAAAAAATTATTATTCCTCTAAAAAATGCTATTACGAGCATTATTTTCCAAAACCTTATTAGAGTTTTTTTTTTTTATTACATCAGATTTACCATGATTATGTCTAATTTATTATTACTATACTTTTCTATTTTACTCACAATACTTCAGGAGAAACAAAATATTTTCAGAAATATATTTGATCCTTTTAGAATTATTTTTTAGAGCTAAAAATGGGAAAATTTATAATATCCTTACTCGCATTATACAACAATTTTATCAATTTAGGAAAATAGTTACATAGCTAGAATATATTTAAAACTATAGATGCATTTTTCATGCGTTTGCTTAGAATTGTTTCCATAAGAAATTCAATATAATTACTCCTATACATTTATGATAATTAACGAAAATGTGATATATTTACAATTTTTTATTAACTTATAACGAATCGTAAGAAATATTCACGCAAAAAATCCCTGCACTTTATTTAGTTGTCAACTTATAATCTTCTATTTCATAAGTAATGGTCGATTTCAAAGTGCCCTATGTATCAATTACCGTAAAATACGGCGTATAATGCGCATTTTTAACACAAAAATTAAGATCGAAATTTACGGGTGCTCGTTATACGACGAGTATAAAAATGATAGCTTTAAAAGTAAAAAAAGAGGGATGAATATAAAAAATAAGACTTCTAGATAGATCGGAATACAGTTTATTTTTAAGGAATGACATAACTTATGAACTTCAAGAGTTGTAATTCTAAAAGTACATATTTTTTTCAAAAACTTTGGATAATACCCTCGAATAAAGGACTTCAAAGCATTAGAGCACTGTATACGTATATTTCAGGTTTCTTCGTTAAGAAAGGGGTGCGCATTATGCGGCGAATAAACCTTGTAACGGGTACTATTCGGGTCCTACTAATCCTCCAGTGGAAAATATTTTTTGAATGAGACTTTAGTTAAAAAACCACTTTCCGTACTGATGACTTGATTTTATGCAAATGTAACTACTATTTAAGTGCCTGTCGTTGAGTATGTGAGTTAATGGTTAAACGTTAATCGTTAAGCGTTAGGCACAAGTGTTAGTAAACGTAAACAGCGAATGGTGGTCAGGCATTTTGAGATTAATAATTGATGGAGAATCTACCACACAGGAAGCGGTTAAGTAACCAACCTTGGAGCTGACCATACTATCGGACTTCAAGAAGGATCACAACAAAGAACTTTAATCTAGATAAATGCTTTCGACAGTTTAGTTATCCGATTACGGGTTAGGATTTCTTTTTGCTCCCAGAGATAAGCTATAAAGTGTATTTCATAAAGTTCCAAAGATAGAATAAAAGTAGTTATTCTTATGATCATGTTTGCTTCCTCGAACCCTCTCACACCCGCGACCTTCGAGCCAAGACAACCTAAAAATTTTAAAAAAATGGAGCTCGAATGTATAGGAGCGCGTTATACGTCAGATTTTACGTTATGTACAAGTGCTCTATTTGTTTTTGGAAATGTAAATTTTCGTAGCATTAATTGAAATATCTGATTAGTGGTGTAACGTACACCCACGCTCTGCAGGGGGGGGGGGGAGTGCAGGCACTCTAGAGGACCCAAAGTTTGACTGAGGCAAAGTACGCATTTAGGCTTAACGCCAAAACCTGATTTTGCCGGTGGGCCTAATGTTCTCCGTTACACCTCTATATCTGATACTATATAACATGGCAAGGAACAAAGATGCACGTGAAACATTGTTCGAGTTAGCAAAAGTAGTACTGCAGTCTTAGCATGCTTCAAATTTGAAGGAAGGATACAATTGATGTTTCGGAAATTCATCGTATTAGAATCATTCAAAATATTTACTGGACGGAGGTAGAAAAATGGCGGAGGAGTTGGGTTCTCCAGTAACTTGGATCACTGGCTTCCTCATTAACGTATTATTGATCTACGGAACAGATAAATTACTATACCTATGTTTCCTTTATCAAAATGAAGTTCTTGTAATGGATTACAATCTGAGATGAAACGTGTATTATGTACCGTAAAGTAAAGTGACAATGGAATGAGCGTTGGCACTCTCAACCGTCTTCATCAACATCGGAATCTTAACTTAATTCCATATGTGGCAATATAGTGTATGGCAATTTTTAACCACACACAATTAATGCCACCTTCTACGATCTTTAGCTAAATAAAGTGTAATCTATATTACTCGAGTAAAGACCCAGCACTTTCAATCGCCCCAGTACTATCCACCAACACGATGAAGCTCTTATCTTTCACTTGTCAAAAAATATCGGTGTCTGTTTGGGAGATTTTTACTCTATTCCTGTTCTTATACCATCTATTTAAGATAACTTGTTTCGTGCTTAGATTAAATCCTTCAACCGAAAATTCTTTGATGATCTTGAGAATGCGAAAAGTGCCATCCAAGAATTTTCCACTCCAAATCTCAAGACTTTTATCACATAATATCTATCATCATCTTCTATCACATAAATCATATGATACAGATAGATAAAGGCGAATGTGCTCAATATCTTAGATCAGCCCTTTCTTAAACTGATGATCACCCTTTATGTATCAGCCTGATATCACGGACCCCAAATTTTTGAACACCCCACCCTGATTCCCAACACTTGGTTGAGTGATTTAAAGTTCCTCAATCGTCATAAGACTGTTCCCCAATAACCATTTTTTTTATATACACTCATGTCCATAAATTAAGGATAATTCAGAATCACACAGAAATTGAACTCTAAAATAAAAATTTCACCTGTAGAATTATCACACACATCTTGAAGAAGAATATGCAAATTACAGGAAACCACCAGATGGCGCGGATAGTACGTCACAATGACGGGAGTGTAAGAGAGGGGTATATAAGGAATGGTGGCAAAGAAGTAAAATTGTTCACAAGCGCTTTATAAGCCTTTCAGTGCAATAACCGCACAGTTATGGCACAAATGAAGGATTTGGATGATTTTTTACGTGGTAGAATTATCGGACGACTGGAATGTGGACGTACCCAGTTGGAAGTATCCGAGGAACTTGGAATCGCCCAGAGTGTCATCTCCAGGCTTTGGCAACGATTCCAAGATGATGGTAATGTGGGTAGATGTTACAGCACAGGTCATCCCCAAGTTACAACGCTGAATGAGGACCGGTATTTGGGAGTTACTGACAAAAGAAACAGACGGAGCACAG